ATCATTCAGGCGCACAAAGTCCTCCACCACGATAAGGTGGAGATTGAAGGAGGAGGAGACAAAGTTTATTTACTTACTTAATATGAATTTCACCACATTCCTGCCTGTGCTAGATCTCAAGCAGTGTCAGAAGTGAGACTCTTATTACTCAGTTTGAGGTCCAGACACCTAAAAACTCATGGATTTATACCAGACAAACACTGTTCAGGAAATTTAAAAAAAATGTGGACAATTCCACTCAAATGTAGACGTGCAAAGATCTTGGTATGGTATGGTATGGTATAAAGTTTATTCATTTTAAAAAGGTACAAAACAATTCCATAACAATATAAAGAAAAATACAAAAGATTTAAAATGAAAGGCAGCAGAAAGAAGAAAAAATCTTATTATATCTGCCCCTTTTTTCAAACAATTATTTCAATCATAATAATCTTCAAGTAACAGAACAAAATGAATAACTTTCTAATTTTTCTAATTCTAATACAAAACACACACTAAGCTACTTCATATATATTTTTAACAATTCAGTTTTGATCTTTTTCTTAAATGTACACATTGACTTGGCATTTTTCACATCACTCTCTAGACCATTCCACAATCCAACTCCTTGGATTGAGGTAGACCTTCCCTTCAGACTAGTTCTGAGTTTTGGTTTGACAAATATTTCTATCCCCTTAAGATTGTAACTACTTTGTCTTTTAACAACATTTCTTTGGATATTTAATGGTAATGCGTTATTTTGAGCCCTATACATAACTGATAAAATACTATAATCTACCAAATCATGGAACTTCAATACAGCAAAGACTGGTTCATCCCAAAGATCCAGTCCCCCGGCACAAACAGAGTAATATTGTGTATGCTGTTCAGTGTCAGGAGGGTGATCAGTCTTACATCGGGGAAACAAAACAGCCACTGGCCAAAAGGATGGCCCAGCACAGAAGATCAACATCATCAGGCCAGGACTCTGCGGTCTACACTCATCTCCAGGCAAGTGGCCACTCTTTCAGGGATGAAGATGTTCACATCCTGGACAGAGAGGAACGATGGTTTGAGAGAGGAGTAAAGGAGGCCATCTTTGTGAAAAGAAATCGTCCATCATTAAACAGGGGTGGAGCCTCCTGGTTCAACTGTCCCCCTCTTACAATGCTGTGATTGCTAGTATCACTCAGCCCTCTGTGAACAGTAAACAGCCATCAGGTGCTAATGATCCATTGTTAGGCTGATGATCCTTCTTGAGCGTGTGATCAGCTGGTTCTGGTTGTCAGCAGCAAAACTGGTTGATCCACTCTGAGAAGGTGCTATTTAAGAGACTGAGCTGAATACAGCACCTCAGACTGAGGAAGTCTCTTGGATGAGGGACGAAACGTTTCTACATTTTTTTGTTGATTTGCTTTGTTTTGTTTTTTTTTGAATGTCCAGAGGACCAGATTTAACTTTTTTAGATTTTTCTACCTGGATTATTGAGCATGCATCAGGATATTCAATAAGTTCAGTTGATAAAATAATGTGCTTGATGGGTGACTGTAATGCTTTCTGGTGATAATTCTTACAGCTCTTTTCTGTAAAATAAAAATAGGTTTTGTAAATGTTTTACACGCTTTCCCCCAAACATCAATGCAATAGATTAAATGTGGAACAATGATTGTGTTATACAACATGTACAGAGCTTTATCATTTAATAATTCCCTGACTTTGTATAGTACTGCAATAGATTTAGATATTTTTGTTCTTACAGAATTGATGTGATTTTTCCATGTTAGCTGTTCATCAATGATTACACCCAAAAATTTCATCTCATTAACTCTACAAATCTCAATACCCTCAATTCTAAATGGATCATCAACAGTTCTCTTTTTGTTACTAAATATCATGTATTTAGTTTTATCTAAATTTAATGATAATTTATTAAGTTTAAACCAAGTTTGTATTTTATCAAATTCTGTCCTCATCAATTCCAACATCCGTTTTACATCTTTACCCAAACAAAAAAATGTGGTGTCATCTGCAAAAAGGACACATTTGAGGAGTCCTGATACATTCACTAAGTCATTCACATATAAAATAAATAACTTTGGTCCAAGTACAGAGCCTTGAGGAACTCCACAAGTGATATTGCACAGGTCAGATCTTACACCATTTATTTGTACAAACTGTTTCCTATCTTTTAAATAGCTAGATACCCAGTGTCATGCTGGTCCTCTTATACCATATTTATTTAATTTTTCAAGGAGAATAGTGTGGTCAATAGTATCGAATGCTTTTTTTAAATCAACAAAAATACAAACACAATACTGTTTTTGATCGACAGCAGTAGTTATTTGTTCTATTATTTCCATGAGAGCCATTGATGTAGAGTTTTTTTCACTAAACCCATACTGACTGCTACTTAGAATGTTTTGTTTAGTAATAAATTTATCTAATCTGGTCACAAATAGTTTTTCTAGAATTTTTGAGAACTGTGGTAATAAGGATATTGGTCTATAATTATTGAACACACATTTATCACCATTTTTAAAGAGAGGAACTACCTTAGCTACTTTCATATTGTCTGGAAATATTCCTTTTGAAAATGATAAATTACAAATATATGTAAACGGCTCGATAACATAACTCATTATGTCCTTTACAAACATCATATCCATGTCCACCCAGTCTTTTGATCTCTTATCTGTAAGATTTTTTACTACATTCATCATTTCTTCTTTGTCAGTTCCATTAAGAAAAATACTGTTGTCACAACTTATAACTGAATGGTTCACATTATTGTCTACTTTTGGTATTTTAGCTGCAAGTCTTGATCCAACGTTCACAAAATGATGATTAAATCCATTTACAATTTCATTTTCATCATGGATTTCATCGTCATCCTTCAAAAAATATTGTGAAATACCTGTTTTTGCTTTATGACTTTTCAGAACACTATTTATTACTCGCCATGTAGCTTTCATATCACCATTACTTTTATTTAATAAATCACTATAATATTCCTTCTTGTGTTTCCTTATAATCGCTACTAATTTATTTTTATACTTCTTATATTTCTCTTCAGCCTCTTGTGTTCTCAATCAAGAAACATGAAACAAATAATTCTTTTTTTACAAACATTTCTCAACCCTTTCATCATCCATGGTTGGTCAACAGCATTTCTGTTTGTACAATTATTTTGCACACAATTCTTTTCATACAGAGCTCCTAAAATATTCATAAACTCATCATATGATCTGTTCACATCATCAACATACACGTCTTTCCAGCTTTGTTTATGTAAATCATCTTTTAATTTGTCCATTGCTTTTTTGGATGTGTTTATTGTTTTTTTTCTTAATTGTAATTTATTTTGTAATGCTTTGATCATTTTTATAAATCATGAAAACTGGTAAATGATCACTCAAATCACTCGTTAAAATACCTCCCATCACATCCCCATTTGTTACATTTGTGAAAATATTATCGATTATTGTAGCACTATGAGTTGTAATTCTTGTTGGTTTTGATATTAACGGATAAAGATTTAAACTATACAATGAATTTGTAAATGTACTGATGTTATTTGAATCTGTTTTATTTCCCAGGTCAATATTAAAGTCTCCACAGAAAAAAATGCTTTTATTAAAACTCTTGTCCAATAGTTGTACGATTTTATCAGTGAATATTTCTATATTTGATCCTGGAGATCGATATACACAACTTATCAATATGTTTTTATCAATCTTGTTTATTATTTCTATTGTTATTATTTCCATGATATTATCAACTTATCTTAATATTGTTTCCTCAAATGTAAAACTGCCTGTTTGATCCCTGTCAGCCTGTGGAGGGCAGCAGCACTTCTGCAACTTGTTGCACCTGCACAGGTCACAGGAAGTGGCCATGGATGCATCTGTGGGAGGATCTCCTTATCAGTGGAAGTTGAAGCAAAAACAAAAAATAGATTTTTTTTAACCAAACGTTCAGTTTTCATTGCTGCCTGCAGCTAGAGACCCAGGAGGAGCAATAATGTATGTGTGTTCCTTCGCCTGTACTGTTAGCAAAATATCTCCGAAATCACTGAACAAATTTTTAAATAATTTTTACAAAATAATTGTATTGACATTACAGCTGATTAAGTTTTGGAGTCAACCTAATTCAAGATGGCTGCTACACCTGGACCTGCTATTGTGTGTCTGTTCCTACTTCCTGTCCTCTCAGACCCAGCTGGTCGAAGCAGATGGCTGCTGGTCCTGAGTCTGGTTCTGCTGGAGGTTCTTCCTGTTGAAAGGGAGTTTTTTCTTCCCACTGTCTCCTCTGTTCTTGCTCAGGATGAGACTGATGAAGTGAAGATTCAACACAATCTGCTGCTTCCTCAGATAAATTTAACTAATTGTCTTTTCTGAATGTTTCTGTTCAGAGAAGTGAGACATGTTGAAATAAACCGAACAATTTATTTTAGCAGCCACAAAACTGAAAAATTCAAAACGTATAAACTTTAAACGGATCGTGCAGCAGCTGCTGCTGATTAATGACTTGATCTTTTTCAGTGATGTGTTGAAGGTTCTGGTCCAACAGGTCTGAAACCAGCCCGTGATTCCCAAGCAGATGTTGAGAGGAGAAAAGGGGCTCGTTGTGGGAAGCAGACAGCAGGGAGGGGGTTGGAAGATAAGGAGGCGAGTGAAAGTTTCTGGAACTCCCTCCCTCCCTCTTTTTTTTTATTTGGCCCGACGACTGAGCAGAGAGAAAAGTGGAGGAGGTTCAGGGCGCTCCCACCTCCACTCCGCCTCTGCGCGCACAACTTTGGTTTCCTGCTTCCCAAGAGCTTTTTCTTTCCAGTTCCTGTTGGTGGAGAGATGTTCTGCAGCTGAGAGCTGTTTTCAGGACTTTCAAGTTTAGTTTGTGGTTGGAGAGCTGGGCGACGCGTTTTCAGCCTCACTCTCTTCCTTTTTCCTCCAGTGGCAAACCAGTGTCTCCAGGAGAAACTTTGCTACATTTTGTTTTTCATCTTTCAAATTGGACCCCACCCCCGCTGGATTTGTGATTAACTTGGACTGGGAGACATTCCAGTGGACACCATGCTTCCAGCCGAGCCGGAGAGGTGCGCCGGCCTCTGCCGGACCGGGCTGCTGCTTTTGGCTCTCCTGCTGTGCGCAGCGTCCGTGCGTGGATGCCCTCACAAGTGCAGCTGCTCCGGGTCTCATGTGGACTGCCAGGGTCTGGGTCTGAAGACTGTCCCCAAAGGAATCCCGAGGAATGCCGAGCGCGTGTAAGTTGTCTCTGTTGATTGGCTCGTGCGTGTGAGCAGCAGAACCGTCCGAACCTTTAGGTTCGACCAGGTAAACTTTTCCCTGTAAGGAGTTGGTGAGAGGATCAAACTGCTGTCTTTTCAAGTGTCTTATTAAAAAGCGCGTGCCCTGGCCATCAGTTGATTGACAGAGCGCGTGCACCTGCCTCTGAGCTGGAAGCACAGTTTGTGTCAAACTTCATGTTCAGGATCTTTTTGTTGCACATTTCTGACTCTGAAGAGAAGGAGGAGACAAGTTCTCTCCCAACATGCACAAAGTAACTTGAGGTGGACAAGAAGTAACAGAAGCTTAAAGACTGAACATGATCCAAGAAAGATCACTCTCTAACAGAACACACGGAAACACGCGTCCTCCTCTAGTTTAGACACTGAAAGACGTGTCCTCCTCTAGTTTAAACACTGAAAGACTCGTCCTCCTCTAGTTTAGACACTGAAAGACTCGTCCTCCTCTAGTTTAGACACCGAAAGACACGTCCTCCTCTAGTTTAGACAC